TGCTGCTGCTGCTGCTGCTGCTGCTGTAGGTGCGGCAGCAGGGAGTGGCTCCTGTGAATACAGCGCTCAGCTCACCTGCGCGGAGCCTGCGTCGCTCTCCGCCCGCTGCTGCTGCTGCTGCTGCTGCTGCGCTCGCTGCAGCAGCAGGCGGAGGCGGCGCAACGGAATGGGATGAGGCGTCCAGGCTCCTGCTTCAACTGCTGCAGCATCTGCTGCTGGTGCTTCTGAATTTGCTGCTGCCTGTGCAAAGGGTTCATACTGCAGCGCCTGCTGCAGCAGCCAGTCTGAGCTCCCCCCCGCGGCTCTTTCTGCTGCTGCAGCACAGCGGAAGACGGCCTGCATCGCAGCAGCAAAGATAGACAAGAGCAGCAGCTGTGAACTCGAGGGAGGCAGCAATTTGTCGCAGACCCAACGAGGGGTCGAAAGCAGTAGGCAGTACAGCAACACTCTGCTGCTGCTGCTGCTGCTCTTGCTGCTGCTGCTTCCGCAGCAGCAGCAGGAGCAGCAGCAGCAAACAGCCGTGGGACCTCACAGCCGCTGGATGGCCGAGGCTGCGCCTCAGCGGGATGGCGCTGCGTCTTGCTGGCGACGAAGCAGACGGAAAGCAGCAGCAACAAGAGCAGCAGCAGCAGCAGCAGCAGCAAGAGCAACAGCAGCAGCAAACAATCGTGGACGAAACAAACATGAGGATGGCGGATAAGAAGCAGCGAAGCAAAAGAAGCGGTTGGGGCGAATGAAAAAGCAAAGAGAAATGCATGCGAAGCAGCAGCAGCAGCGGGATACAACTACAATAAAAACAGAAATAGAAAACTAAACCCTAAACCCTAAACCCTAAATTCTAAACCCTAGAGGTTAAGTTCTTCACGAAATACCCGAACAAACCGCAGCGAAAGTGTCCAAACGAAATGAGAAAGAAAGAAACAGGAAAAAACAAAATGGAGAAGTGGAAAGACAAAAGGAAATAAAGACGGAGGAAACAAAAAGACGAAAAGATAAAAAAATAAAAAGGCAGAAAATGAAAAAGAGAGATCGAAACAGAAAACAAAAAGATTCAAAGAAACGGAAACGAAAAGGAAAAAAAGAAAGGAGGATAAAGAAGAAAAAAGAAAAAGAAAAAAGAGGAAAAAACAGCGAAAGAGAGAGAGAGACAAAAAGAAGAATAAAAGAAAAGAGAGCAGGTGCTGCAGCAGCAGCAGCAGCGAGGAGAGCGGGTGCTGCAGCAGCAGCAGCAGCGAGGAGAGCGGGTGCTGCAGCAGCAGCAGCAGCAGCAAGTTCACCTGGAAATCCTCAGCAGGAGCAGCAGGGTCCCTGCCTCGCTGCTGCCACCTCTGCTGCTGCAGCTGCCCTAGAGCTTCCTCTAGCCTTTCTACTTCCTCTTGCGACCGCAGCAGCACCACATCCGACCCCCCTGCTGCTGCTGCTGCTGCTGCGTCCTCGTGGGCGCGGCGCGCTATAGAAAGCGACTGCTGCAGCAGCGCCTCAGCTTCTCCCCAGCGCCCGCAGCCAGCAGCAGCAGCAGCAAAGCAGGCTACATCGGCGCACAGCAAAGAAGTCAGACACAGGCGGAACTTTTCCCGCTGCTGTTGCTTCTTGCTGCTGCTGCTGCTGCTGCTGTGGGGGTCCGCCGCCTCCACCGTTACCAGCAGCAGCGTCTGCTCCTCTTGCTGCTGAGAGCTTGCAGCAGCTGCTGCCGGTGGCTTTGCTGCTTCCAAAGGGTGCAGCACAGCGAGCGGAAACGTGGGCGGACCCTTTGACCCGTCAAACGCTGCCCACCACAAGCTGCTGCTGCTGCTGCTTCTGCTGCTGCTGGCCAGCGTGAGCTTCGAGGCCTCCGGTTTCTCCTGCTGCTGCGGCGATAGCAGCAAACAGTTCCTGTCCAAGTCAAATGCCACACACAGCAGTCCTCCAGGGCCAGCAGCCCTCGGGCTCGCCCTGTCAGCTGCTGCTGCAGCTGCTGCGGCGCCACTTTGCTGCTGCTGCTGCTGCTGCTGCTGCTGCTCTTGGTCTTGCTGCGCGTCAAGAGGCTCGCGGCGGCCGAACAGCAGCACCAGCAGCTCATTTGCTTCTCCAGCAAAAAATGCTGCTGAAAGAGGCAAATCCGGAGAAGACTTTTGCAGCTGCAGCAGCGCCACCTCTTCCTCCAGCCACGCTCGCTCCTCCTCCTCCGCCTGCTGCTGCTGCTGCTGCTGCTGCTGCTGTTCCAAAGGATGTCTGCGGTTGCGGGTCTGTGTTGCTACCTCGCTGTTTTGCTGCTGCTGAGACACAGCAGCAGAAGTAGAATGCTGCTGCTGCTGCTGCCAAGGGCTCATTACAGCGCGAGACCGAAGATGCCGCACAAAAGGGGCAGGAAGGAAAGCTAGGGGCTCATAGTACGCAGGCCCCCTGCTGCTGCTGCTGTTGCTGCTGCTGCTGCTTGCTGGTTGTGCATCGTGGGTCACGCGAAGCAGCAGCAGCTCGTCAGAGGAGAAAGACAATGCAAGAATGCCGCCGCAAGAGCTGATTGCAACGTGCTGCAGCTGCAGCTGCTGCTGCTGCTGCTGCTGCTGCTTCCTTTCGTCTTTCTGAGACATACCAAGGTGGTACTGCAGCTGCGCAAGCAGCAGTTCTCGTCTCTCTTTTGCTGCTGCTGCGGCTTCGTTTTGCCGCTGCTGCTGCTGCGTTTCCGTCGCTTTCGCGTTGCCTGCCCCCGCTGCTGATGCTGCTGCTGCTGCTGCTGCACCTCTTTCTCTGAACATCTGCGTCTGCCCCTCTGCAGCAGCAACCCATCTTTCTGCTTCTTCTTTTAATTCACTTGGCCTCAGAAAGACAGGCCTGTAGAAAGACTCTGGGCAGTCCGCGCTGGACCAAGGCGCTAAGCTTGCATCCTGCTGCTGCCGCTGCTGCTGCTGCTGCTGCAGATGCGCGTCCATGGCCTGCAAGGCCTGTCTTGCTGCGAGGGACCGCAGAAGGTCCAGCGAGGGCAGCACCGCGACGACTGGCTGGGGTCCGCGTGACCACTGGAGCTGCTGCTCGCTGCTGCTGCTGCTGCTGCTGCTGCTGCTGCAGGGAGCCCCCGCTGCTGCTGCTGCTGCTTCGTCGGCGTCGGAGTCCTCGCTGTCGCCCTCAGCCTCCAGCTCGCCAGCCATTCCCTGCAAAGGGACCCAGCTGGTCCAGGCCGTTTTTTCTGCTGCACTAAACCCCACAACAACAGCAACGGGGAGGCTGGGGTGTACAGACACCGCAGCGGGCGGGAAGGGAACTGCGGGCAGCCACGCCGAAGCAAAGGCCCCGGCCGGCAGCTGCACAGCAGCAGCAGGCAAGCAGGCCGGCAGCGCTGCTGCTGCTGCTGCTGCTGCTGAGTCGTGCTCGCCGGAGCCGCCTTCCTGCTGCTGCTGCTGCTGCTGCTCGAGGGCCTGCTGCTGCTGCGCAAGGATGGCCTCGGAGTGCAGCAGCAAAAGGGCGCAGTACTTGGTTTGCAAACAGAAGCAAAGAAACAGAACGCCCCAGGGGCAGTCCCCAACCCACTGCAGCACGACATCTTCTCTGGGCAGCAGCAGGCGCCGCAGCGGCACCAGCGGCTGCGGCGTGAGCTGCGCCCTCCTGCTGCTGCTGCTGCTGCGGCTGCCAGCAGCAGCGAGGGCCTTCAGCGGAGGCAGCAGCAGAAGCTCAGTCCGCGGCGGAGTTGTCTTGTAGGTGACAGCCAAAACTGAAAAGCGCTGCACCAAACTGCAGGACAGCACTGCCTCATCTGCGGTGATCACGAACAGCGCAGCTGCTGCGTCTGCTGCTGCTGCTGCTTCTGCAGGAGCCGCGTCCCCTGCTGCTGCTGCTGCAGCAGCAGCAGCAGAGCCGGGCCACAGCAGCCAAAAGAATATCTGCCGGCCCTCCCAAGAAACCACAGAAATGCTGCTGCTGCCTCTCTCTGTCTGCAGCCGCCCAGCAAGGCCCCAGCGCCCGCAGACTTGTGCTGCTGCGGGCACTCCGCAGATGGGCAGCTCGAAGCCCAGCCGCTCCAGCTGGACCAGACCGCCCTGCTGCTGCTGCTGCTGCTGCTGCTGCTCTCCCTGCGGCTGCCTCCTCAGCCGCCGCAGCAGCCCAGACAACAAAGAACCGCCTTGCTCTTGGGGCGGCAGCCGCGGCTGCGGGGCCTCCGAGGCGCTGGACGCGTCGCCTGCTGCCGCTGCTGCTGCTGCTGCTGCTGGCTCGTCGCCGTCGCTCCTCGCAGCGCTGTAGGGCTGCTGCTGCTGCTGCTGCTGCCACTCCTTGGCAGGGCCAACAGGAGAGGGGAAGGCAAAGGGAATGTCGAGAATGCGGCGGAGCTGGAGGCAGCCGATAGAAGGAAACGCGAGAGGCGGGACCTCCTCAGCCACCACAGCAGAGAGCTCTGGCCCTTCACCAAAGTCCATTGTCTTTTACATCTCAAAATTTGGCCCAAAAGTCCTTTCCGCCCACGGGATTCAGCTCTTCTGGGCCAGCCGCGGGGCCCCGCGAGGGCTGGGGAAGCACCCCTTAGCTGCTGCAGCCGCTGCAGCTGCTGCCCAAGTCCCCATACATCGGAGTCTCAGTGTCTGCAGCACTTCTAGAACAGCCGAATCGCCGAAGACAAACCCTGGGGGGAGGGCCCGCCGCTGCTTCCCCTCAAGAGAGTCACCCTGGCTGCTGGCCTTCACCCTAGCAGCCGGGTTGTCGAGTCTTCAGGGGGAAACAGCGAAAATACCAAAGTTATATGACCTTTTTGGACCCTGCCCGGCTTTCTTGTGAAGTGCTGCGGAGAATAATGCGCACCTCTGCACTGGGATTGCGTGGGGCTGCCGTTCAGGAAACGAGAGCCCAGGAGTCGGCGACGAAGGCGCTAAAGGCCCTCTAGCAGCGGCGCCTTTGAACTTAAAAGAAGTAAATTAGACTTAAAAAGTAAACATTTCGAGGCGAGGGAGGGGAGCTGGGGGCAGGGCCACAGCACCTACGCTGACCGCAGCCGCCACCAACGGGCGCGTCTCGCTCGGGCCCAACGGCGGAGTTAAGCACAACAGGTGCAGCAAATAGTGAGATTATCTTGCCACTGTTTTTCAACTTGAAATCTTACTCATTTAAAGGGCGGATGGGGAGAAACTGCTGCTCTCCGTTGCAAGGGCGCTCCCTTGCAAGTTGAATAAGTTGAATCGCTGACCATTCGCATGGCTCTTCGCCGCCAGCCCTTCATTTAGGCTCACAGCTTTCTCCTTTCACTTCTCTTTTGTCTTAGCGAGGCTTCACAATCTCGAAACTCTCGGCTGCAGAGAGTTGCCTTAATCCCATTGTCTTTCTGGGGGGTGAACACAAGGCAGGGAGCACGTCGGTTCTCCGCGGGTACCGCCTTTGCAGGGCCAAACTTTCGCAGATTTCCTAGCCCTAGCATTAATAAATATCAAGAAACAAATATATCTACAGTTGAACGGAACGAAAATGAAGCTTGCTAGGCCCTTAGCGGCAGCGGTGATGGTTTCTGCATGGCTGTGCGCACATGCAGTATTCACAGTGAACGTAAATATGAGTTTTCAGAAGGAGAAAAACGCAGCGTCAGGCGCACAAAAGTTCCTTCCCATTCGAATTCGTGAGCTTGAAAGGCCTATTTCGCCTTGTTGCATTGTATCAATTTCAGCTCGCATGTGGTGTCCTCCCCAGGGGGCCCATTAATACATAAATCAGCTGGTTTTGATGCAGCTGTTTCTCTTGAATTGATAACATGCGTTTTTAAATCCTTTTCGCTGCTCTCCGTGCTTGTGCTGTCTCCGGGGCTTTGCAGCTTCTGTGTTTCAGCTTTCTTGGTTCCAGAATCTTGTGCGGCACGTTTTCGCCACCGAAAAGCTGGTGTTTCCTCATGACTCTTGCGGCCAGAGCTGTTTATTATATTTGTCCTGGATTGTTTCCGTTCTAACGCTGGCGGAATGGATAGCTTTCGCGTACGTTGGCTGCTGCTGCTCAAGGTTGTTCATAAGCTTCCACAGCTACAGTACTTCAAGCTGCAAGCCTTCAAACTTGCCTCAAATATGCACTGAAGGCCGCTTAGGGCTATAAAGTAATCAGGCATAATGTTAATTCAAATTAATTTAAGCTGTATAGTGCTGGGGGTCTCATTGAAATCATTTTAGTACAACTGATCACATTATGGATGGGGAAAGAGAGGAGTGACTCTGGAAAGAAGAAAGCTACGGGGAGAGCAGAGCCACAGCATTCACACTAATCTTCACAAAAGAGTCTACGCAGCTATTTGTTGAAGGGAATATCTATGGAATTAATTTTCTAATTAGGAAAGCGGAAACAGCTGCGCCAAACCCAATGTGGTGCTTGCAGGGCTTTTCTGCTGAGGGCTGTTTGGAGTAAACTGATATGCCCCGTCTTCTCCACTCTCGGCTACATTTTGTTAGCTGCTGGGGTATACGGCTGCGCACGGACTTGCGCGTTTATGCTGGCGTGAGTCGACGCTTCGGCATTCCCAATTCAAGTTTTCCGCTGTTGCTGCTGCTGCTGCTGCTGCTGCTGCTGCCGTTTCAGGTGCTTTGTGGCCAGCTTTTGTTTATATTTGAATTCTGCAGGCCCTATTTGCCGGAAGACGCGGCAGTGTCGGTGGTTCGCGTGCTGTGCGCCGTGGATAAGGGCCTGTGGGTAATTTGGGACTCTCTTAGCGGGGCTGCCTCTGTGCTCATGTGGGCACTCGACGGCCTCCTCAGCTCTCTCGTCTGGCCTTCTCTTGAAGACATAATGGACACTGTTGTGCAGCCCAGCCACCGCCTGCTTCTCAGCGAGCTTCTCGCAAAGGTGAAGGAAGTGGCACACAATTTGCCCGAGACAGTGCCTCACCCAGAGTTTTAGCGCCCCTGCAGCCCCAGAGTGAAGCCCTGCAGCTCTCTGGCCCGCCATTCTTCCTGCAGTGCTGCACAGAACAGAAAGTGCTGCTAAAGTGGCTTTATTGTATATGCCACTTTATTTGCACAAGTCCGCTCCGAACTTTGGCGTCTTGGCCCTGCCGTGACGGAGCCTTTAGGGGTTATCGCGGTGTCTCACTTTTGGCAGAAGCACCGAACTAAGTTCTTTAGACTTAAACTTCATTTTTTTCCCGAGTAGGCATTTTGGGGAGTGAAACTCTGCAGCAGTTTGGCAGCAACACTGTAGGCAGCAGCCCAGCAAGTGCGGGCTCTCGCAGCAACTCTTCTGCTGCAGATTTGAGGCAATTGAATATAAGGACTCACGGTAGCTGCATCTTTATAAATAATCGACACTGCTGGTAGTAAAGGTCTGGAACTCTCTGCAGTTGCGTTAGCCGATTCAAGCAAATGATCTTTTCAGTATATGGCATTCCAGTCTATTTCATTTGGAGGCGTCAATTGTGCAAAAATGGCTCAAATTGATATCTTTAGAAGATTTAATTATGTAAAAATGATTAATAAAAGTATTTTTAGAAGCCTTCATCATATAGAAGTGAATAGTAAAGGCCCGCGGTCCCGAGCACCAGTGGCGCAATGGATAGCGCGTAGCCCTCCTAAGGCTAAGGTTGTGGGTTCGAATCCCATCTGGTGTGCTCTCTTTAACTCCCTGCCTCAATTTGAAGTTATTTTCTCTTTTCAAAAGGCTGGCGAGGATTCCCTGGAAAAATAATTGCATTTTGATGCACTTTTATTTGCAACATGATGGAGATCGGATTTCAAGACCGTCTACCTGAGCACCAGTGGCGCAATGGATAGCGCGTAGCCCTCCTAAGGCTAAGGTTGTGGGTTCGAGTCCCATCTGGTGTGCTCTCAGTATTTCCCTTTGTCACTGTTTTTGTCTTCAATTAATTTCATGTAAATTAACTAATTTTATAATTAGAGTTTTGCCATTTCTGCCATTCGCCTGGGGATTCTTATGTGCCTGCGAGTGAGCGACTGAAGAATCCTGTAGCGCAAAGTGGCGAAAGGATACAGCAGCCCTCTGTCTTAATGAGGTGTTAAAGACCAGCCACTGTTATCAATTTACTATTTTCTGGATTTTATTCTTTATTTTTTGGCAGTTAATTGATCTATTGTGTTGCACACCAGCCTAACTTGCCCCGCTTTCCCTTAGCGTTATCATATGCAGTTTCAGAACTGTGCATGCAAGTTTGCGCTCGGGCTGTCGGCAGTCTTCGGCAGCCCCTTCACTAAGAGTATTACTTATCTGAAATATATTTAATTACGTACAAAATAGTTGTCAGAGATGCTATTTTTCCTGAGATCGAGTACACCCGCGTGCTGCAGTTCGCCCAGCCTTTTCCCGCTTCCCTGAGCGAACTTCCCAGATCCAGTGGCCGCGCGGGCGGGCCATTTGCCTCTCTTTTCCCAGCCTCGATGGCCTCTCCGACTTAGCCAAATTTTGGCTTCAAAATGCCGCCCGTGCGCTTCAAGGCGCCGCAGCAAGTGCGCATAAAGTGCCCCAAGGGGCGCATTGTGCCGCTGAACGAGCCCGAAGTGAAGCTGGGAAAAACAATTGTGGCTGCAGCGCCCCACAGAGTCACGGAGGCGCAGCTGGAGCAGGCCAGGAGGACGCTGCGGCGGTGAGAGCCGCTGCTGCTGCTGCTGCTGCTGCTGAGTGACCCTGCATGCAGCAGCGGGTCCGCAGCAGCGCCTTCCAGGAGTACTCGAGCTCTCAGACAGAACAAATGCATTTGTTGGATTTATTTGCATATTTTTGTCCCAGTGGCAGGGCTGTGCATGCGCAGCAAATGGCAAACGAGTGCTGCTGCTTCCCACTTGAAAGCTGCTGCTGCTTCAGTTCATTTCCCTTCAACTTTGCTTCTTTCTGGGAGCTCTAAAAGGTCCACAAGGCCACAAGGCCAGCTAGCTGCTGAGGCAGCTAGCTGCTGCTGCAGAGCCAGCTAGCTGCAGCGCAGCAGCTAGCTGGCTCTGCAGCTGGCCAGTGCAGCGCAGCAGCTAACTGGCTCTGCAGCCCTCCCGTGCGTCCCAGCAGCTAGCTGCTGCGCTGCAGCAGGCCGGCGCGCTGCAGCAGTCCGGTGCGCTGCTGCTGCTGCGCTGCAGCGAGTGCGCTGCTGCTGCGCATGCATGCAGGTACTTGGGCCGGTCCAAAGAGCTGCTGGTGGGAGTGCATGCAACTTACCCAGTGACGAGAAAGGCAGAAGGAGTGAAGATGGGGCAGGGCAAAGGGGCCATAGACCACTTCGTGGCCAGAGTCCCTGCAGGTGCGCTGCTTGCTGCTGCTGCTCTCCCGCGCCTGCTGCTCGCTTGCCTTCGCTGCAGCGGGAAACTGCAGCACTGCGGGGATCCAGCCCACTGTTGCTCCTGCTGCAGCTCCTGCTGCAGCTCCTGCTGCAGTTCCTGCTGCAGCTCCTGCTGCAGCTCCTGCTGCAGCTCCTGCTGCAGCTTTGGATATGCCGTGTGTTGGGCTTTGCTGCTGCTGTTTTTTGCTGCTCAGGGCGCGTGTTGTTTCACATTCCGCAGACGAATCCGTTTCAAAGTTTGCTGCCTCAGGCGCCGAACTTCCGGGCGTTCAAAGCAGTGGCTGGGAAGCTGCCTTTTCCCGTAGTTTTTAGAGAACAAAATAATTACTTTCCACTGGACAGTGTGCAGCGTTTAATAGAAGAGAAGCGAAGACAAGACGCAGCGGCCCGCACGGCGAGTGTGCGCAGAAAGCTGCTGCAGTCGCTGCCGGCTGCTGCAGCCGCAGCAAACGATCTTCCCTGACTTTTGTTATGCAAAAAAGGGAAATGCATTTATTTCGTTTTATTTCTTTTTAAGTTTCTCGATTTGTGTCCGTGGACGGCCTCTTGGCTGCAGAGGACTTCAATGCAAGTTCATTTCGTCTCAGTACGGTTTCACCGAGCTGCTCACGCCTCGCCAACAGAAACACGAGTTAAATACAACAATAAATATATTTTCTTTCTACTAGGAAAACAAGTATCCTTTTACTTCTTCGCTGGAGGCCTCTCTGCAGCATTTGGGCTTCGCGCTGCACTTGTAAGCAGTTTCAGAGCTGCAGCGAAAGCGGCGGAAACTACGAAAGGCACAACTGCAGTGTACATACACCTAAATATTTAGAGTTTCACATGCATTTAAATCTAAGACACATAAACCTAAATATTTAGAGTTTCGCATCCATTTAAGTCTGAGATTGCGTTTTTTGTCGTTTGCCATCAGCAGCAGCGGCGTCGGGCCCCTGGGCCCCCCCCGGCGCAGCCGCCGCGCCCTCAGCGCTTTGAATTTTGTTTCTTTGGACAATTTGAATTTCTTTTTTTTCTGCAATTTGAATTCCCCTTTTTTCTAAAGGCTTTGGCCGGCCAAAGCCCGTCAGCCGGGCCAGGGGAGTCTTGTCCTGCGGGAGGCTTTGGGGGCCCTGGGGCTGCGCCGTTTGGAAGTAGGCGCTCCAGGCCTCGGGGGTGATGGAGCTGCGCATGCGCTGCACGATTTGCTGCACCTCCGCGAGCTCGTCTTCGTCGTCTGAGGAGGCGCTGCTGCTGCTGCTGCTGCTGCTGCTGCTGCTGCTGCTGACGTCCGTCGCGAAGCCGCTCGCCGCCCGCACGCGGCAAAACTTCCCCGACCGCACCTCCCAGCCGTCCAGCCTGCGGCGCAGTGCACAAGTTGAACAAGTTAAAAAAAGGAATTTAATTCCAAATTTTAATTCCAACATTTAATTGCAACATTTAATTCCAACATTTAATTGCAACATTTAATTGAAACACTCAATTGAAACATTTAATTGCAGCATTTAACTGCAGCATTTAACTGCAGCATTTAGCTGCAGCATTTAGCTGCAGCACTTAGCTGCAGCATTTAGCTGCAGCACTTAGCTGCAGCATTTAGCTGCAGCATTTAGCTGCAGCACTTAGCTGCAGCACTTAGCTGCAGCATTTAGCTGCAGCATTTAGCTGCAGCATTTAGCTGCAGCACTTCTTCAGCACTTTCCAGTGCATGCATGCAGCGCACTTGTTGATCTGGGCCAGCCGGCCCGATATTTCACTTTCGGGGAAAAACTGCTGCAGCCGCGCAAACCACTGAGTCGCCAGCCGCCGCCTCCCCTTGCGCAGTTTGCGCCACGCGTGGTCAAGAAAGCCAAAAGACAAATGGTTTTGAGTGCATGCAACGCAGTCCGTCAAGTTCAGCACTGCATGCCACCAGTTGGGTGGCACGTAAATGATCTCGCCGGGCCTTTGGATGCACTGCAGCGCCAAACGCAGATAAAATCAACTCGAAATGCTAAACAGAATCATTTTTTCGCGAGTATTTCCACTTTGCTAGGCGAATGCAAGCAATTTGCTGGTAAAGGGCTTTGCATGCATGCAACGCAGTCCGTCAAGTTCAGCACTGTATGCCACCAGTTGGGTGGCACATATAACTCCCCGGGCCGCTGGGAGCACTGCAGCACCAAAAAGAATAAGTAAAATCAACTCTAAATGTTAAAAAGAATCATTTAATCAACAAGTTATGCATTTCGCTGCGCGACACCAAGCAACTTGCTGCAAAGTTGCATTCTGCAAGACACCGCAAGTGTTGGCCCTGGGCTCCTCACACGGCAGCCACACAGAAAGCACCCTTAAACGGCCCCTGAGGGCCACCAAAGGGTTTATATTTATTTCAACAGTTTATTGGATTCATTTGAAGGTCAAATGAGCTTCAGAGATGCGCTGATCGGATCAGAATCCACAGCAAGCAGCTGCTCCTGGCGCTCACCTCGTACACTTCAGTCTCAGGATACCTCTCCTTGATGCGGGGCAAAATGTTATCGAACCACATAATCGGCTCGTCGTCTTCTCCAGGTTTCATGAGATGTTTTCCTTTAACAATTTGCTTCGAAGTATTCGGGGGAAACAGAGCCCACCTGCAGCCACCACAGCCCCAACAGGCACTTCTGCAAATGCGCATTTCCTCAAGAACGCGAAAAGCTGCAAACGCCTGTCTTTCGCGATTTGGCTGTTGTCTTAGCCGCTACTTCTAGACACTGTGGGACTCAAAAAGCCTCGCAACTCTGGGCAAAAATAATTCCATTCAAAAGAAGAAATGACTTTTCCCCAGCACCCGCGGAGCCCCCGCCCCCAAAATGCTTCACCGCTTGTAGCCAGAAGTCACTGCGTTCCACGCTGCTGTGCCTAGGGGGTCGGTGTGCACAGTTGTGCCGCTTCTTTTGGGGCCGATGCAGAACCACCGGTACCTGCAGCAAGAAGACAGAAAAGGAGAAAACTGGTCACAAATGCTCTTTTTTTTAATTTATTTACACAAATTTGGCAAATATTTCATTATATTAACTCCTGTAAAGGTTATATTGGCTCACGGGGGCCGCCGCTCTTCTCCCACGATGGCGTGCAGGTCCACGGGGAAGACTTCAGGCACTCGCCAGTCATTCAGCAAGCCGCTGCAAACAAAAGTTGTCAAATAAAATGCAAAACAAAAGTCCAAAAGGATCCCCATTTACTTTTTCTTTTACTTTTTATTTTTATTAGTTGCATGCGACGCATGTGGCTGAACTCACCATGTGTTTGCCTTGTCCTCAACTGCAGATTCAAAGAGGTAAAGCGGCGAGTCATCATTTTGCTGTTTCAAATAGTCGATGAAGTACTTCTGAGCAGCCACAGACAACAAAAAGCTACAAAATTAATAAATTCAATATAAAGAAGAAGGATCAGGAGGGATCAGAAGGATCAGTCCACTGTTCGAAATCCCACGACAAAAGCGGCAGCAACACGAACCCCGCTCAGCCTCTTGAAAAGCTCCACCTAAGTTCACCACACGCACAATTTTGAGTTTAATTTTATCCCCATTGTCTTTTTCTCCAACTTTAAACTTCGCCGTCCTGTAGGCTCGGCGCAGGCTTTCAATATCCCAGCGACGCATGGCCGGCCAGTCCTCCATCCACCCGCACAGCAGTACAGGCCTCCCGGGCACTTCATAGTTGCGAATAAAGTCTGAAACACAAAAGCAAATAAACAACGCAAACATATAAGCAAGAAAAACGGGAAAACAACCGCAGCAGCGATGGCGATTCGGGCGCCACAAGCACCGCCCCCTCAATATGTCAGAGAGAATCTGAGGGGAAGGAATGAAATATGGCTACAAAATGGACCCAAGTGTTTTAAAATTTGCTAAATGGTGATATTTGGATAAATGGTGGAGGCGGAGAGAGGCCAGACGCACCAACAAGCGTGGTGTTCGCCTTGTAGATCCTGGGGAGGTTTTCACGAATGTGCATCGACCTTTCGCAGAAGTCCGTTTCTGCATATCTGAATTTGCTCCATTCGCTCCAGTGGAGATCTCCTCTGCATGCAAGCAGCGACTCTGGAGCTAAAAGGCTTTGAATTTGAATGTTCGAATTCAAAGACGGAGTGTCCAGCTTTCTGCACTCTTCTGCCTCTTTTCCGAGCTTTCTGCTGCTAATGCTGCAGCTGTTAATGCCTCACTTTGCTGTTTTCCATAACTGGAAAACTCACCGGTGCTGCTTCTTGGCCCTTCTTATTCTGTCTCGCGTTTTGCGGTGCTGAAAGTGGGGCTCCGGCAGAGGCTGGGGGCTGCTGGCAGTCTGTGACGGCTTTTGAAGAGCTGCATCTGTCTTTGCCGTTGTCTCTCGAGTTGAATTCGAATTTGTGTGCGCGAACGCCGAAGCATCACCTGCTGCTGCTGCTGCTGCTGCTGGTGCGGGTGCTGCTGCTGGTGTTGCAGCTTTCCCGTTGGGCTGTTTCGCTGAGCCCTCTCCGTGGCTTTCCTGCGCTCTTTCAGCGGGCATGGTCCCTCCAGTGTTTTCAACTTGACGAATCAAATAAAGAAAGCACAAGTCATGGTCTTTGCAGCAGAAGTTCCCACTTGCGGGCGGAACAGCCCAGCGGCGCTGCCACGGCGAGCCTCTTGGGTTTCCAGAGATCTATAAAAGCAAAAACCCTTTTAAAGTAGTCAAATAAAGCTGTTGCGGAGTCACTAGACCTGCAAGTCTGCAGGATCAGCAGGATCTTCTCGGGGTTTCCCAAGGAAGTCCGGGCAGCAGGCTGGAAGCCGCGGCGCAAGACTTATCTAATGGCATTCAGCAGCTCCTAAATACCTTTGGAATGTGCGCAGCTGAACTCTTTGCTGCCGTTTCAGCCCGCGAGGCGCAGCAAATCAGCAGCACGGGAAGTGACTGCGGAGGTGCTGCAGCTGGCTGCTGCAGGATCCAGCCTCTTCTGCACAGTTTCGAGCCGCTTTGTCTTTTTAAAAGAAATTCAAACTCAAAATGCTTTTCAAAAGTGCAAACTAAGGCGGGGAATGCGGCCGGGGGGCCGGCAGATGCTGTACACCGGAGAGTGAAGCCTTTCAAGTGAGCCCTCGCGGATCTGTCGCCCAGCTCTCGATCCTGCTCAGTATGCAGGAAAGCAGCAGCAGCAAACTCCAATCATTAACTACTGCTGCTGCTGCTGCTGCTGCTGCTGCTGGGTGGCGGCCCCTCGCAGGGGCCCCCCGAGCGAGTGGGCCAGCCAGCCCTTGGCAGGGCCTCATGGTTGGGGCTGTTGTCCTACGAAGGCCTTAGCCTCATTTGTGGATTAAACTGGAAATAAAACTGAAACAACGGAATTTATTTTAACTTTTGCATTAAGATGAACTCTTAAAGGCCCAGTTTAATGCTCGCAGCAACGCCAAGTGACCTGAAACAGATACCAGTGAGTCCACTTGCAACAAACGCGCAAGCCCGGGAGCCCCGCGCCTCTTTTTGAAGGGCCCCTCTAATACATTAGAATTGCCTTTTCTAATAACTGCAGCTAATCGCGGCAGCTGCTGCTGCGCCTTTGCGAAAGACGCAGCAGCAGCAGCTGCTGCGATTAGCAACACCCCACAGGCCCAGCCCTGCAGCGGGCCGAACACTATTTATTCCTGAGGCACAGGGCTAAAGCGCTTTCGCATGCAGCCTGCTGCAGTTAGAAAGATGAAACAGCAGCTGCAGCAGCGCCGTTGCTGCTGCAACGCTTCAATTTGAGCGCTACGAGCGAGTCTATGAAACCTGCTACAGCCTGACTCCTTGCACCGCGGGAAGAACAGCAATGCTATTTGACCCTGAAGCTGCTTCAGGCCCTTTTGATCAAGAGATTCGTTAGATCTGTCTGCGTGTTCTTCGCGTTTCTTTTGTTGGTGGTCTGCATCGCTCCAGCGACGACAAGCTAGTTCCCGCTGGATCTAGCGCAGCTTTCCGGTGATCAGTATCAATACACCTATTCTTTGCTTTCTAAAAGGCTTTATTTATCAAAACTTGTTAGAGTTTGAGGCCGAATTCGTATTTTGCTGACTCACCGGCCAGTCTGTACAGCGGACTCGCGGTGGCGGTGCGGCTCAGCGATGCCACATCCGCCTCGGTTGCAGGAGCGAATCCGCGATCTGCGGCTGAGACGAGCTGATCTTTTTGATTAACTTACTGAAATTGATTGGATTCAAATGACCCTGCGCTGCCATGGCGTGGCGGTGGGACAGAGTGGCCGCTCTGTTTTGCGTGCAGCTCGCCGTGTGTCTGGGCGTGCAGGGGCAGGGGAAAGGACCGCAAGAATGCCGGTTCGACCAGCCGTGCAGCTTTCTGCGGGTCAGAGTACGTAGAAAAGCTGGAATTCGTTGCGGATTCCCGAGTTGCATGCGTTTTCGTTCAGGTTGAGGCGGGCGCGAAGGCCGAGACGCGGGAGGAATACGTGGAGAACTGGGTGGCCGTCGGTCTTTTCGTGGTGATCATCTTGTTGTCCGTGGTGTTTGAGGTTTTCGTGGGGACTTTCGAAGAGTATTTGCGGCGAAGACGGCTGGCGAAGCTGCAGGAAATGCTGAACTGCGCGTTCAAAGAGCTCACGATCCTGGGCTTCATCAGCCTGTTCCTGTACGCCACGATCCGGCTCGGAGCCGCGCGCAAGCTGAACGACAAGTACTTGGGAGTTTCCAAGACGGAAGAAGCTGCAGTGGCTGAGGCGGAGGCCCGCGGCGAAGAGCCCTACCCGCCCACGCACTTGACGGAAACTTTCGAAACAATTCACGTTTTGATCTTCATGATCATGTTGGCCTTTTTGCTGCAGGTGGCGGCCCTCACGGCCCTCGGGCACCGCACAATGCGCGCGTTGGAGCTGCTGGACTCCGAGTCTGAGGAGGAGCTGCACGCTGCTGCTGCAGCGCTTCTCCAGCTGCAGCCTGCTGCTGCAGCGCAGCTGCAGCAGGCGCTGCAGCACTGGGCGCTGCGCCAGCGCTTCGTCTTCGCAGCAAACCCCCTCATGCCCAAGCCCAGGCTGCAGCAGCCAGGCTCTCCAGCCTTCTCTTTTGCTGCTTATTTGAATTATTGTTTTGGCGAAAGTTTGGCGGCCATGATCGAGCTGCCCCCCAGCGTCCTCGTCCTCGCGCTGCTGCTGCTGCTGCTGCTGCGGCCCGCCCTCTCCCTCTCCGGCAGAGAAGTCATTGCCTTCATGGCTGCTGCTGCTTTCTTGCTGCTGCTGCTCACTTACTTTTCCTTCGCCTTCCTCAACTTCGTCGACTCCAAACTCCGTCCCGACTCGGGGGCCCTCCTGGCGCTCTTCGGGGCCCCCCCGGAGGCCCTCCCGGGGGCCCCCGGGGGCCCCCCCGGGGGCCCCCCGGGGGCCCCAGGGGGGCCCCCCGGGGGGCCCCAGGGGGCCCTTCACTGCCCCATTGACGAAAGGTAAGACGCGTTTTCCCCTGAGGCGCTTTTTGCTGCTGCAGCTGCTAGATTCGCTGCAGGCCGCTGGCCACAGTGAAGAAGTGGCCGCGGGAGCGGGTAAGTGTGGTTTGCTGCTGCTGCGCTGCTGCAGCAGGTGCTGCAGCAAAAGCAACTTTGAACTTGGCAGACAGTGAATCGAACTGCTGCTCTTTTCCCCTTCGGAAGTGAGTCTTTTGAGCCCCAAGGAACCCCATTTGCTGCTGCACTTCAACTCCAAAGACCCCCGCTACTGCCGCCGGCTGCTGCAGCTGCTGCTCTTCTTCCATGCAGCCTACACCGCCGTGCTGCTCATGTGCTGCTGCGCACAAGAGTACGGCTCCCGCTACATCTGGTGGACCAATGGTCACTGGGCCTACCCCCTCACCTTCCTGCCCCTCGCCGCCTCCTTCTTCACCTGGACAAGGGTCAGCTGCTGCTGCTGCTGCTGCTGCTGCGGGTCCTGCTGCTGCTGCTGCTGCGGGTCCTGCCGCTGCTGCTGCTGCTGCTGCTGCCGGCAGTCTCGAACGTGAATTCGCTTATTTGTTGTTTGCTGCTGCAGCTGCTGAGGACCTTCACGACTGCGTTTCACCTGGACTTTCTCGCCAGTGCCAAAACAATAAGAGCAGTGGAGGCGGAGCAAGACAAAGTGGGATTGTAGAAAATTTTGGATTTTTGAATTTTCGGAATTCCTTTTTTTCTTCAGGCCATTCTGCAGCGCGATGCGCAAATTCTGGAGTTTTTAATGCACCAAGTGAGGCAAATAAACTTTTAATTGGCCAAGTTGAATTTGAATTTGCTGCTGCGGTGCGCAGGGCGGCAAGATCGAAAATGCTGCAGCAGTGCAGCGGCAAAGCCTTCTTGCAGCTTTCCGGCGGCTCCCCCGCGAGGCCCAGGCCTACATTAGGAGCCTTTTCACAAGTTTGGCGGAGCACTCTGAGAGGTTTCCGCATGCAGGTGAATTTGAAAAGTCCTTTTAATGGCTGCTTTCGCGCGAACAGCCGCTGCTGCGTTCAGAGGCCCCCGGCGTGGTGTCGCGACAGGCCATGGAAGACATCATTAGGTGCACGAGAATGGAAACAGTGAGAAAAAAGAAATTTAAAATTGAATTTGGAAAGAATCCACTTCTGGCGGCCTCCAGGCGAGCAAAGAAGACGCGAAGACCTTCGCGGAAGACTGGTTTCGCATTCTGGACGCCACTAAGAGGTTGGCGGGATCTTGAGCTTAGAACCCCCGGTGTACGTACACCGCAGCGCCCGAGCAGTGGCTACTTGCAGTTCGAAGACTTCAAAGCATTTGTTGTTCTTCTGGGCTCTTTGGGCGTCGACAAAAAGGAGTATCCGCAGCACCAGCGGGCGACTCTCGGGCGGCTCTTCGAGTTCCTGGACGCCGACGGAGACAGACAAATTGTACGAAACAAATATTCAAAAAGAATTTAAAATTGAATTCAATTAAATGCCTCGTCAACAACTTCTGCTTCCCCGCGCAGTCGCCGCAGGAGCTGGAGGCGGCGCTGAGCGGGTGAGCCCGAAGGGCCAGAGTGGCCCCGGTGCACTTGTGCATCAACAATTAAAAGAGAATTGAAGTTCAAATTCAAAATCTAATTCGAAACTTCTTTTTCAGAATGAAACCTCCGCTGGGCAAGGCCGAGCTGCTGGCGCTGCAGCAGCGCATTTCCGAAGACGGCAGAGGCCGCATCACAGAGGCCAGTCTGTTCGCCTGGGCGCGGCGGACTCGCCTGCGCTCGCGGGCCTTCGCTGGGCCAGCGGAGTAGCGGTGGACCACCCGAGTGGACCACTGGTCACCTCTGCAGCAGCAGCAGCAGCAGCAGCAGGCGACTCCCCGGCGGACAGGGAGTCTTGAGGAATGCATTTATTGTTCTGTTTCGTTTAGTCGGCCACATACACGGAAAAGAGTGCAGCTGCTCTCTTTTTAAATAAGTGAAAACTAAATAACACCAGAGTCTGCCTCACTTTACGCTGCAGCTGCAGCTGTTTTGGTCCACTGGACCACTACCAACTAATTCCGCAGGAATGCAGCTGGGCCACTTGGCCACGGCTGCTCAGCACTACGGCTTTTTGCTGCTTCTACCCGGCCCCACACAAACGCCTTAAGTGCTGCAGCAGCTGCTGCTGCCTGCGGCGTTTAGCCCTGGCAAAAGCTACAAGAGCAGCTGCTGCTCGCTGCGCTGCAGCAGGCGCCTGCCACTGGGCAAACGCGGGCTGCTGCTGGCCCGTCTGCTGCTGCTGCTGCTGCCACCTTCGGGCCCCTAGTGACTCGCTAGACCTTCAGTGAACTGCGTTCTGCGTGTTTCGCTGCGAAGCTGCAGCAGCAGCAGCAGCAGCGCCGCAAGGCGCTGCGCGCCGCGCGCTCTGCGCTGCGCAGAACCGGCCCTGAGGATTTTATTCGGCTTAATTGAAGTTAAATGAAATATAAATTTGAATTAGTGGAGAGTTTTGGGCCTGGGAAAGGCGAAGGCCGCAGGAAACCTCCTGGGCGGACCCACCAGCCCCGGGAAGCAGCAGCTCCGCTCGGGCGAGGATCTGCAGCGTTTCGCCGCTCAAAGAAGAACTCTGAGGCTTTTATTTCTAAAAAGTGAGAAAGATTTAAATTGCTGCTTTGAAATGCTTCTTTAAGGCGCACCAAAGTCTCCCGCAGCTGCAGCCGCTGCTTGCAGCCCCGTGCGCTCACTTCGTCAGCCCCCACCGGCCATCGCGCGCTAGAGAATCACTTTTCGAAAAAGGAAATAAAAAACCATTTCTTGTTGAACTTCTGCATCATCGAAAGCGCGAGGGGCCCCCAGTATAAAGGAACAAGAGCATGCCACCCAACACCTTGCTGCCTCCGCCGCCGCCTCTGCAGCCAACTCTGGGGGCCCTCCGCTCTTCCGGCGGGGCTCTTTAGGGGCCTCTGAGGCTTTCGAGGGCTACGAGATACAGCAGAGCTGCGCAGGCTGCTGCTAATTCGCACAGCAGCTGCAGCAGCAGCAGCAGCTGCAGCCAGGCCGGCAGCCGCAGCAGGCGTGGGCATTTGCGCAGGAGCGCAGCAACAGCAACAGCAACCGGACTGGAAATATGACAAGACTTAGAGAAGCCCTAGGCGGCGCAGCCGCGCCCGGGGCTCCCCCGGGCCCCGACGATGAACAGCAGCAGCAGCAGCAGCAGCAGCAGCTAGAGAGTTGCCCGCAGGACTTCCCCTGGCTGCAGCTGTGGGAAGTCTGGCAAAGAGGAAGTATGACTCCCCTAAGCCAAGGCGAGACCTGGTGGGTTTGGCCCTGCGGCTTATCTATGCAGCAGCACCAGCAGCAGATTGCTGCTGCTGCTGCTCGCGCTGCTCGGCAGGCTGCTGTGCATAATGCTTCTGTTGCTGCTCTATACTGCTGCTGCTGCTGTTGCTTCTTTAGAGCTAGCTGCTAAGGCCGCTGCTGCTGCTACCGTCAGTGCCTCCTGTGCTGCAGCTGCTACCATTACTGCAATTCTCGCGGATCCTGCAGCTGCCACTGCGACTACTGCTGCTGCTGCTGCTGCTGCCTGAGGTACTGCTTTTCTGCTGCTGCTGCTGCTGCTGCAGGTACGTGGTGAATGCTGGCTTTCTGAAGGCTCTGCAGCAGGAGGCGACTCGCCTGCGCGCGAGCATGTCAGCAGAGTCAGCAGCTCAAGTGCTGAGCGGTTTAGAGAAGTTCGTTGCCCTTTCCAGACAGCTGCAGCAGCAGCAGCAGCAGCAGCAGCACCAGCAGCTGCGCATCTCGAACGCGCCGCTGCTGTCGCCCGACAGCATCAAGAACGGATTTGCAACAAAACGCTCGCGGCTGGCCACGGGGGTGGAGAAGCAGATGGTGGGGCCCTCTGTCTCTTTTTAAATGCATTTTAATTAGTAAAATAAATAAAAATGAAGAAAGCAAACAAAATGATTTAAGTGTGTACAGGAAAGCTGCCGCTCTCACTGCTGCCGCTGCTGCCGCTGCTGCTGCTGCCGCGGTTGCCGCAGCAGCGCGGCTGCTGCGATCCTGCAGACTCCTGAGTTCCTCTCCGTTCCATTTATTTTATTTGAAGTTTATTTGCACTTTCGGATTAAAAAGACCAAAAGACAATCCATTTCGCGTGCTGCGGCTGCCTCTGCTGCTGCTGCTGCTGCTCTGCCGCGGCTGCTGCTGCTGCTGCTGCTGCTGCAGGGCCTGGCGTTTCAAGTCTGCGACTCCAACACTTGGACAGTTATGACTGCGTGGGTCCCTTACGACATCGAAGTGCCCCGCGGGGTGTACAGACAGGGCGGCCGTCTGCACGTGGAGGTGCAGCCGCTGCTGCTGCATGCGTTTCGCGCTGTGGGCAGCAGCAGCAGCTGCAGAGAAGCAGCAACAGAGCCTGTTGCCGACTTCGTAGCCACGCGATCCGACGCGCTGGACCTCGTTATCCACAAGGTGACAGCAGCAGCAGCAGCAGCAGCAGCAGCTTCTCTTGCTTGGCTTTTTCTGTAGCCCTTCTTGTCTTTGCTGCTCTCTCTGCCGTTTCGTCTCCTCTTTCCTCTTTTTCCTGTCTCCACTTTTGCTGCGGCTTCTTGCTGCTGCTCTCTTTCCCCGGCGCGGCTCGCATGCAGTGTTTTCTGCCTGCAGCATTTGCACGTTTCTTAAAAGACACTTCTTTTGACTTTTTGCCAATTTGCTTCCTCTTTTGCTGCTGCTGCTGCTGCTGCTTGCAAATGCTGCAGCTCAAGGAAGCTGCTGGCGTAGAGCCCTACGATGCCCTTCTCCACGTGTCGCTGCAGCTGCGGCCGCGAGGCCCCGGGGCCCCGGGGGCCCCCGGGGCCCCCGGGGGGCCCCTGGGGGCCCCCGCGTTGTTTGCGCCTCCGAGCAGCTGGAGCTGCGTGTGCGAGCCGCTGGACACTTTGGTGGAGGAGACGGACTTGGTTGACGGGGCTGGAGTGGTGCTGCTGCACCGTTCGGCGTGCGTGTGCATGCAGCAGCAGCAGCAGGAGCAGCAGCAGCAGCAGGAGGCTGAGGAGGAAGCAGCAGCGTGGCCCGTTGGCCCGCCGCGGGCGTCGGCAGCAGCAGCAGCGCTGCAGCGGCCGGCGCTGGGGGGCGGCGTGCTGGCGCTGTCCGCGGGGAACCGGGGCCTGGCCCCCGCAGCAGCAGCAGCAGCAGCAGCAGCAGTGCCGCGGGGCCTCAACGACTCGCTGGTGGACCTCTGGTTCGCCACGGGGGGCCTCGTGGGCCTCGTCAACTTGGCCAACACCTGCTTCTTAAATGCTGCAGTCCAGTGCCTTTCTGCTGTTCTTCCTTTCTCCCGCTACTTCCTCAGCGGCGCCTACAAGGCCGACATCAACGAGCAAAACTGCATGGGCACTCAGGGCAGACTCGCGGACGCCTACGCGAAGACCCTCAAGGTAACCTGCTGCTGCTGCTGCTGCTGCTGCTGCTGGGGCTTCTGGGGCTGCTGCTGGGGCTTCTGGGGCTGCTGCTGGGGCTTCCGGGGCTGCTGCTGGGGCTTCTGGGGCTGCTGCTGGGGCTTCTGGGGCTGTTTTTGCTGCTGCTGCTGCTGTTAGTGCTGTTGCTGCTGTGGCTGCTGTTGCTGCTGTGCAGCTGTGTTGTTCACTTTCTTGATTTCTTTGCACGTGGCTGTGGCTTCTTTGTTCAGTTTGGTTGTTTATTCATTCATTTATAACTATTTGTTTATAATTTGTGATTTATTTCTTGTTTATGTGCGGATTATTCCTCCCCTTTGTCGTGTTTTTCTCCATTTGGAGCCGCTTTCGGCGCCCGCGCATGCAGAAAGTTGAACAGCGTTGGATCCGGGGGATATTGGAGGATTCGGAAGGTGATTTTGCGTTTGTTGAATTCCTTTTGTTTTGTTTTGATAATTTTTTGCTTTACTTCACCGCTGCAGGCGCTGTGGGCTTCGAACGAAACGGCTTTCGGCCCCCGGGAGCTGAAGTGGGCCGTGGGAGAGGTGCGGGAAGAGTTCCTGGGGTTCGCCCAGCAAGACACTCAAGAGCTGCTGGCGTTTTTGCTGGACGGCATTCACGAAGACCTCAACAGAGTCCGCAAGAAGCCTTACTACGAGGTAACTGGGCTGGAGGAACTGCAGCGACAGCTGCAGTCGCAGCGGCTTTTTGTTCAAGATCAGCGACGGATCTGAGGAAACTTGCGGAGAAATAGTCACTATAGGCAGAGTTTATATGAACTAAATGAAGCAATCGACTAGTTGAGGCCAAAAAGCCAGACTTTAGAGCTGCCGATTCCCCAGCCATTCATGTTCCCGCCCGCAGAGCAGAGCGGCTCATGCCGCTTTCCCGCGGCGCTTCATGCGAAAGCTCGTGTTTAAATGCGCACTTTGCACTTATAAATGCACAAAGATATAATTAATAAGCAGAAAAGTCCGTTTAGCGGGTTTTCGCTGCACGGAAACTCGGGCACTGTGCGTGCAAGGCGCTCCCCTAGTGGCTGCAGTTGCTGCTGCTGCTGCTCCCGCTGCCCCCCCTGCTGCTGCTCCCCCCTCCTCCCCCTTCCCATTCGCTGCTGCTGCGCCTCCTCCCCCGCCGCGCATTCGCTTCCGCTGCTGCTGCTGCTGCCGCTGCTGCTGCAGGACAAGATCGAGGGCTGCGCGGGCCTGAGCGAGAGCGTGACGGCGCTGCGCAGCTGGCGGCGGCACCTGGAGGTGCACAACTCCGCAGTGGTGGATCTCTTCCAGGGGCAGTACAGGTCGCGGCTGCTGTGTCCTCTTTGCTGCCGCCTCTCCGTCACCTTCGACCCTTTCCTGACGCTGTCGCTGCCGCTGCCGCACGCGGCGCCGCTGCGGCTGGCCTTCGCGGCGAGCTTCGCGGCGTCGAAGGCCTTTGCTGCGGACCTGCACGCGCTGCTGCCGCTGTCGCAGCAGCAGACCAAGACCCTGGCCCTCGTGCGCTGCTGCTGCTGCGCTGCTGCTGTGCTGCTGCGCAGGGCTGCTGCGGTTGCGGGGCTGCGCCGGCGGCTGCTGTGCGCGGGTGCTGCTGCCCGTGCCCGGGCTGCTGCTCGCCGGGGCGCGCGCCTGCTGCTGCTGCTGCTGCTGCTTCCTGCTACTGGGTGGACTTGGAATTGCGTGTGTGGGGCGTGCTGCTGCTGCTTGCTGCTGCAGCGGCTGCTGCATGCAGCACTTGAAGATGAACTGCCACAAGCAACTTTAATGGAAGATGAAAAAGAAGAACTCGTCCGCCAAATCTGCAACTGTACGTACCCAACCACCAAACCTCCAACGCCACCAAACTCGAAACGCCTCCTAGAAGGGTTTAGGGTTTAGGGTTTGGAGCTTAGGGTTTAGGGTCCTGGATCTAGTGTTCAGGATTTACGGTTTAGAGTCTGGGGTGCGCGGTTGAGGGTCTACTGTTTAGTGTTGGGGGGTTTACGGTTTAGGGTTTAGGGTCTAAAGAGCCTCTGAAATTTCCTCTCAGAGGGCTTCAAAGCCCAGTTTATGAAACCCCTCTAGAGGACCTGCTTGGCCGTGAGGGTTTAGGGTTTAGGGTTTAGGGTTTGCATGCAGGTTCTGGAATAAACAAAATAGATGAATTGAAAGAAGACCAAATTCTTTTAGTTTGCAGAAGGCCCGGAGAGATGAGCCCGGGGTCCCCGCAGCTGGGCACCAGCGGCTTGCGCCCTTTTGCCCCGGGCGAAGAGGTGGGCGAATTTGGTCTATTTTGATTCATTTTAATTCATTTCAATTCCTTTTAACTCCTTTTAATTCATTTATAATCATTTATAATCATTTATAATCCCTTGTGCTTCATTTATTGCTCTTTTGGGGGCCGTTTGCCGTTCGTTTGCAGTTTAAATCTCTTGAATTCATCATTTCGTAATGTTGTCCATTTCAGTTCATTTTAATCCGTTTGAATTGATTTCAACTCATTTCAATTCATGTCAACTCCTTTTAATTCATTTTAATTCATTTGGTTTCATTCATTATCATTTCTTGTCATTTATAATCATTTATTTTCCATTTATTCCTCTTTTGGGATTCGATTACCGTTTGTTTGCAGTCTAAACCTCTTGAATTCTTTATTTCGTAATTTTCAATTTCCAGTTTAGCCCCATTTAACTCTTTTTTGCTTTCTGACTAAAGTGCTGTACAAATAAATGAGGAAATGTAAAAACGAAAGTTTTATTTATTGTTTTACTAAGGGAGTATTTTATTACAAACTGTTATGTGTTATTAGATTGGGTACTATTATATATTATTCTACCTTATTATATAATACATATATATATATATATATTTACTAATATATATATATTTACTTATATATACATATTTATATATATGTATATCATATGTATACTTATGCATTATATATATATATATATATATATATATATATATATATATATATTATCTATTTGCTTGTCATATTTGCATGCAATTTAATACAACAGTGCACAATATAAATATAAGTGTTAAATATAAAACATGAAAATAAATATAAATATATAAATATTAAATATAAATATAAATATAAATATAAATATAAATTTAAGTATAAATATAAATATATGAATACAAATATATGGACAAATATAAGTATACAAAGGTAAATATAAATAAAAAGACAAATACAAGTTTATTGATATAAATATGAATATATAAATATAAATATAAATATAGTATTTATACAGATTTATATATTTCAGATATATTTCGCTTTTGCTGCTGCAGCAGCAGCATGCAAATATGTGCCTCCTTTTACTTAATTCTTTAAAATGTTTTTAATTATTTTATTGTTCAATCTTTTAATTAATTTAATTAATTAAATTAATTTAATTTTTGAAAACTTTTATTTTTGTTTTTATTTTTTTGCAGCTGCGGAGTCGAACAGAAAGAAAAGTGACAACAATTTTCATTTGGTTTTTGCCCGCCTGGATTGTGCAGGTTAGTCTTTTATTTATTTTAATCAATTTAACTAATTTAATTAATTTATTAATTAATTTAATTAATTTAATTAATTTAATGCTTTAATTCCTTTTAATTGTTTTGTTTTATTTATTTTATTTCTTTGTTCTCCCGAGAAGCAGCTAGCGAGGGAGTTCAGTCTGGGCAGTTCTTAACGAGCAGCAGCAGCACTGCAGCAGCAGCAGCAGCACTGCAGCAGCAGCAGCAGCACTGCAGC